TTGCATAAATGCAAAAAGTGCATAGAATGGAGATGTCAGTTGTGTATTGAGATGCTATGTAATAGTCGAAAAACCTGGCACAACTGCATTCAGCACGTTAAAGTTCCCCAGTAACATCACTATCGTCAGACTCTCACCCTTTTCGTTCGGGTGGTTTTGATATTTTTGTTTTGTAAAAGTATGCTTATTTTCTGTCTTAAATAGACTAAGGTCTCTCACAGTCGGCCTAATTCTAGATTTTTGGGGGAGGGAGGTTTTGAGAGTTCTGTGTTGGAATTAACTTTGATAAAAAATTTCAGGACTCAGCCGTACCGAAATTCCTCACATCGTGCACATCGCGACCGCTCTCAGACACATAGTGGCACTCATCATCGAACAACTTCAGGAAGTTCAAAGTAAGACAGTTTAATTCTTTTAAGGTGAATGAATTTTGCGGAATGATTTTTAGGCTAAATTTATTGGGGTTTATTCTCAAAACTTCTTGTGAAGGGATCAGAATTTTGATACTGGTACGCAAGTTTTAAGGAGTTTTGCAGCGATAGATATCTGGAAACGGGAATTATGAATACTTCTCTTGTTCCGAGCTTCTCCGTCTTTTCAGGGCCACGTGGTTTGGGAGAACAAGAAATGTGAGAGCTGTGGTAGTCGGAGATTTTCAAAGAGCGAGGAGAATTTCCTGCATTTGCAGTGATTGTTCTCTTTCTGTGGGAAATTGTAATTTTGCAGTAAGCTCCGATTTTCAGGAGTGGGCAGAAAAAAAAGGCCTTATACATTTACTTTCGTAGTAACTGGTCATTGAAAGCTCCAAAATTATGTCAAGAATGGCTGGATTGTCCGGACTTCAACCTGTTTTTGCTGATGTTATTGGGATGCTTCTCTATGCCGGGCGCAGCTGTACCAGGCTGGGATGGGTTGCGAAAATTCCTAAAAGAAATTAAATTAATGTTAAATTATTATCCAACCTAGTTTTTCGCCCTGATTGGTTTTCATTTCAGGAAATTGTCCGTTGATGAGTTGCTGATGAAAGAACGCCGAGCGCAGTTACGCGATTACAAATGGGCTGCAGATTCAATCCAAGAAAGCACATCGGAAGTGAAACATCCATCATTGCCCAGCGCTTTTTCATTCCTCTCGTTCGATTATACCACATCGAGGTACCTGAATCCCACTATTTAACGTTGATCCATGCGTCAGGCATGTTTCTTAAATACTCTCCGAAGTGAAATGCCAACTAATAGGCCCTAAAACGCATTAAAAGTGGATTGGAGCTTCACTTCTACTCGATTTATGGACGCTGAGCCTTCTCTCACCCTCGTGCATTGGATAAGGAACTAAATTTACCATATCTTAGTTAAAACAATTGGGTTTTTTTTTTGGAAGTGCGGGGGGGGGG